GATTATTTGAGACCGGCTTCCTTCTTTAATCCACTCAAAATGTTCAGAACACGATACACGATTTTTCAGCATGAGTTTCATTGCACGTGCAGATCAATGCAACATTGATTCTAGCGAATGGCGAAGGTTTTGCCGAAAGCCAATAGTGTCTTCAAAACAAATGATTTCTGTCCAAAGCTTAAATGGAACACACGAAGCAAAGTCATATCTGTTAAATAGCTATAAGTAGATCGTGGATATTGGAAAAGGGACAGATCACAGAAATAACCATTTTCTAGAGAGAAGGCAAGAAATCTGATAATAATTAATACAACGCTGAGAGCATCACAACCACACCACTAGTACAAAAATAAATAGATATTCAAAATGTTGAAAAGTTTGAAAATTGCAAGATTTCCCTCTACAACTGCTTGATTTCCTTTCCGGTCTTCTTTAGTGTCTCCAGTATATCATTGGCTGGGAGGTCGGTAGTAACTACCACTTGCTTAGTTGCCACATCGATTTTATCGATTGTGACTTTGTCGCCAAGTTTCGTAAGAACACGACGTGCAGCATTAGCGCATCCATCGCAGGTCATTCCCATTTCGAATGTGTACTGAAAAAATTGAAGACATGTTGAAGCAAAACCGGTTTTATCAAAATGAAGCTGGATAGTTGATGTATTCTGGCTTTTGATTTTAAAAAAATTGCGATTGCACTTTTACCAGGTTCATGAAAACAAGCATATAGGTCTATTTAGTATCCAGAAGAATGCAACAAATCTATAATCGCTTCTATAAAAAAACCCACGGTTCCTTCTGTGCAAAATGCTTCATATCAGCTCCAATGGTGTGATAATGATAAGAGCGCTATCGCGCGATAATTTTTTACTGGACAATAAACGCGGCCAATGAACACAATATGTGAGCAGAACGTTACGAAGACGCAGGTGCCACCTGGGCAAACTATTTAACCTGAAAATCTCACAGATAAGTCCTCCCATCAGATAACTCCGCATAAATCCTACTACAGATAAGTCCGGACTTATCTGACAGTTTCGGATTTCTTGCATTATAGTTACCCTGAGATCTTGTCAGATAAT